TTTCGAGACACATCGAGATTTGAATTTACTTTTACACCGGGAGTACGTTCGCTGCTATGCGCGGGCAGAAACATGCGGGCAACACGCGGGGAACGTCGACTCGCGGTGACGTTGGCGATAAAAATTGCGGGGCGTCGGCCGGTTACAGAGAGGCAAAAGAATTTTAAACGCCGGCAGCGGTATAAATCTGTTTGAAGTGTATTTAGAGTCTCGCGAGCTTGGGATGCGCGGGAGCACCGGGATATGTCGCCCGGGAGGCATACCTGACGAGAGATCGACAACGCTCCCGCGCCGTTGACGCGTATTTGAATATGTAACGAGCCTAAACGCGGTTGTGTGTCGCGGGCGTTTCTACGCGCCGGCTGCGACGTTTGGCTTGTATTTCGCATGCGAAATTCGTCGGGCTCGCCCCGCAGTCGTACACGCGAGACCTGTAATCTTGACACGGAAGTGCGCGAAACTTCCAGCTAATTCCGAGGTTCGGACTAGTCGTTGTTCGCAAATGAAACGACTGCGCTTAATCTTTGCAGGATACCCACACTGCTGTGGTCGAGATATAATTACTAGGGTCCGTATTAAACGTGCCTCAAGCGAGATACTCGTATTTAGATTTGGAGTTGTGAGTTTTTCAACGGTATCGCGATTGAGAATATAAGCGAATCACGTATATCGTGTGATGCAACTGAAAGCTCAGATCTAACTTTAAGTACACATCTAAGTTCAGTCTTAATATCTGGTACTTGAAACTTGTCTCAAGTGAGATATTCAAATTTGAATTTAGAGTTAGATGTAAACTTTTCGGTGGAATTGCAATTATAAATGTAATGTCACGAATATCGTGTGATTTAAATACAAAACTCTGGTAAATAATTTAGAATTCGAGTCTGAGTTTCTCACAGACTCGAATTGTCTTCTAAGACAAGTTTCAAGTGACAGCTGTTAATACGAGCCTGGGAGGATGAACGCGGCGCTCCAAAAGTGACAAGAGAATTCCTAAGCGAAGAATGGCACAAAGTTATGCAAGTAAATGCGACACAAGTTTCCGTTATTCTTTCTCGCGCTCTCGCGGAGATTTCTCTCATTTTCAATCGCCGGGAGAATTATTCGACGTTTTAATTAAGGAGGAAAATTAACGAGAGAAGGAGAATTATTCAATATGTTTCAATTAAGATTCGCGAAAAAAGTAATTGAACGAAGGAGCTGTCGCTCGAATTAATCTCGGAGATTCCGGCGGACTGTGTGTCGAGCGAATATGCACACGGACGACGGTCCGGACTCGCGACGAATTGGCGGCTACGACGACAACTACGACGCGGCGATGACAAAGGTGTTCGTCATTGCACGCGTTCGCACGAGAGGAAGAGTAAGCGAGACGGAGGGACGCCCTCACGCGCGCCGTTACTTTTCATTATGCACAATGTGCATAGAGACGTGGACATTTTATTTATCGTAGGGATACGTGCGCGCCCGGGTCCTCTCCATTCACCACGGCAGCGTCCCTTTCTCGGCTCACCCCCTAGTGAAGGGAGCCCCCTTTTATTCGCTCGCAGCCTCCCCAGCCGGTCCGCGCCGGACGGAACAATACGCGCGAGTGCGACACACGCGACACACACGACGGCGGAAAAGAACGGTTCTCCGTTTTCATTCCCCCGTTGTAGCTTTTTCCCCCGAAACGTGCAGCCCTCGCGGGTTTGCCCCTTCCGCAGGGGAGGGTGCGCGATCGTCGGGGGGCCCTGAACAACGGGGGTCGCGTCTATTGTCTCGCACGACTCGCCGATATCCCGATTAAGGTGTATCAGTGCGGCGTGTACCGCACGTGTCAACCCATGACGTTGATTTGTAATCCGACGGTGATTAAGCGCGATAAACGTTTGTTCAAGTCGCGTCTCCGTTGAGACCGCATTGTCGACTTTTGCTTCCTCAAACTGCTCTGACTGAATCACTGTGGAGGTACAAATGCCCAACAAGAATCATACAAGTTGACTGTTGCGATTAATAATTTAACAAAAAAATAATCGCAAATTTTAATTTCATATTTTTTAATTAAAGAAAATTGTTAATTGCATTTACACATACACATATCAACCTACATAGCTTTTATTGGCCATTTTAGCGATTGAGTAACTGAGAACCTCAACATAAATTCCCTTCTCTTATTGAGACTGTGTGTAACGGGAAGAAGGCGAAATCGTGAATATTCACGCTTTTAAGCGAAGAATTTCTTATTAATTGAAAAAGTTTTTAATGTAATTTTATTTTGTGTGTGTGTGCTATATTGTTTTTTAAGTGTGTACGATCAATAATTCATTTGAACAATCGTTTCTTCAAGAAACATCGAACTCACACCGTTTTTCGAAAAACCTTTTGCCTATTGATATTGTATATGACAAAATTAAATCGCGCACGTGTTTCGAAAAATGAAACAAGACAAAAATAATTTTTTCTACCGTCCACGACAACAATCGAGATGGGGAGAAGACGTCAGTTTCGCCGGCGGAAAATTGTCGTCCTCGGCTGGCTGGCGTACGATAATGTCGGCAAATGAGAGAGCCAAATGAGGGAAAATTAGCGCGGAGGCCGCGGAAGAGAGCACTTATTTTCCACACGTGTGTCTCTGTCGAGCGATGACGCAATCCACGTCTAGCCGGAGATGAAAGAATCGCGCCGTTTCTGCTCTCCTCGTCTTTCGTCGTCTCGCCTTTGATCCGGCCAGTGTGCAGCTCCGGTGCGAGATATCCGCGCGTCCATTTCCGGTGCGTGGGGAGAAAAAGCGTCGTCTGCGCGAGTTTCAAAGTGATCGATTCGATATCATATGCGGGTACTGTACGCTTCAAAAGACACCCTGCTGTTTCTCGGAGTCGAAACGAGAGCTCTCCAGCTCGATAAATGTCTCAAGAATACACGATTTCACTCGGACAACGTTGTCCCGGCAAGATTCTGCCGCGATCGTTCCATCGAGTCTACTCTATAGAAGATATTATTACCTCAGCGCTTCGCTCCCCCTTCATCGAGATTGATCTTAGAGAGATTAAGTTTATCTTATTCTTGCAAATCTTAAGTTATGGAAAGAATAAATAAACTCTCTCAGAGAACGTGAATGGTATGATCGGTGGAGTTCTGCGCGATACCACTCTGGATAAATGACACTGCAATCCCCATGTTGCCGTTAATTGACGAACAAGATATCGATGAGTATCACGGTCGGCGAGAGAAATCCTCGGGTACGACAAAGAAAACGTTTCTATTACATAACACGAGGTGAACCGACGCGGGTCGTATCGTGAACGTAACGAGCGACCTTTAGTGCGTCGCACGGTGTGCTATAAAAATATACACGTTGCACCGCACGATTATACCATAGCAATTAAAGTGAATCGTCGCCACGGCGTAGTGAATACAGCGAAAATATTCGTCGGTGATAATAAAGCGCTCTAAGTTATTTGAGTTCAGCTCGGAGCGTCGAAATCAATATTTCGCACCGCGAAAGCGAGCTGTCACTCGCGATGCACGCATATCCCGGGCTGATGTCCCGAGAGGATGTCCTCGACGCTCGAGGAGCTTCCGCGTTTTCTTTCATATACGCAAAACATCGCGCATCGTGTGCGCACGAATCTGCACGCGTGACTTTCCTCGCCGGGATATCTTTTCGCGTCATCGGCCGCGCCATCGGCGAACGCGCGCTTTATGCCCGGGAACGTTGCATTTAACATGGAAATTTCTCCGTCGAGTACAATGGCGAGTACATCGTACTATTTTATTACGGCAATACGAGAAATTGGCTCGTCGCCAGCTTGTTTATTGCGAAAGGCGTTGGCCCTCCATCGCCGTTCTCTCTTCCCTCTTAGCCTCCTCCTCCACCTCCTCGTTCGCTTCTCCGCACTTTTGTCTCTCTTTCCTCTTCCGCAACGCGACGGAAACTATTCCCAAGCGGCGTCGAGTCACCCTCCTAGCTCGATGGCCGTTTCTCCCCGCGAAACCGTGCTCTCGACGGCGCTTATTAGCGATCTTCTTATTTATCACCCCTCCTCCACCCGTCGTTACGTATTTCCGGACATTCCGGCGTCGCCGAGCGGTTTAATCCGAGGATAAGAGAAACTAATGAGAGAGTCGGCAACGCTGATTAGAATGCTCACGATACATTGATCTCACGATTATTCCATTCGATTGCGAGGAGAATTTCCCGCTCGACGAGTCGAGAATCGAAACTTTTCATTAATTAGCGCGACTTTTAATCGTCCCACTACGTTATAACAGAGAACATACACCCGTTCGTTTTTAATATTTCTGCGGGGAAATTTATTTTTAAACCCGTATGTACTTTTCTAATGATCTCTTCTTCCTACGAATAAGAGCCCTGGGAAAACCTTGCGAACCTCTCTGAAATTATGCTAGCAAAATTACAGTTATTAACTGAAAAATTAATGCTCTCGCGTGCGAGTCAGAGAGCAGTAAAAACGTGCCTGTTGTCTCTTGGGAGAAAGAGAAGAGGGAGAAAAGAGCCAGCTATGTTGATTTAATATTTCATACACAAAACAAGGTCAAAAATTAGACCGCTGAGATGATCGGATTTTAAGTAATTCTGGAATAAGGCTCAACGAAATGACAACAAATAATCACACGCAGAATGAAAATACAATAGTGCTACGCACAATATTACGCCTCAGGTTTCTCCGTCAGTCTTTTCATCCTTCGCGTACAATCTGTGAGACCTGAACGAATACGCTCGCCAACTTCTGTGAAGTATCCGGGAAATTTTCGAAATTGTGCAAATCTGCTTGCAGATTTTGATCTTACATCACGTTATTATAACCGAGACTTTCCTATATTTCCGGAAGAGGTGTGTCCAAAACTGTTGGCTTTTACCAAGATTATGATAGATGAGAGTTGCTCGAGATGACAGACTCAGATTGCAGCAAAAAATATGATTGCACGTAAAGGGTGAAATTTTCCGAGTTAATGTATGAGTTAATGAGAACTAAAATGTCCAGTCAGTGACTCACCTCTCGCCTGGAATTATTGGTGGCCGGCGCGCGTCTCCCCCTGGCGAAACCGGCGTCCATGGACCTGGTGTTCAGGGAAGCCTGCTCTTTTGAGTCGCCGACCGGGGTGCGATGGGGCGGCACCCTCGGCCTGTACTCTATGGTCCTGTTGCCGTGGCTCTTGGACTTCGGCGGCATTATCGAGCTCTGACCGATATCAGAGCTCTCCTCATCGGCCTCTTCGACAGGCGAGGGCGGCAACGGCGGGAACTCCATTACCTCGACGCTCACCTGTTACAATGCGGATACCACGAGGTTGTTCAAACGGTTTCACGAAGTAATGATCACTCGGCTAGTACCGCCAAGTTCGTTAAACGGCGATTGGATCGGCGGACGATGAGATAGCGCGCGGAAATCGCGTCCCGTGAAATGCAGATCGCGTTCGATTGACGTTTCTACCGAATAGCGAAATTTTTTGCAATAAATCTGATCACAATCAGAGCGAGTGAAAATTCTCGGATGACATGCAAAGATTCAACCGGAATCACAGAAATGAGTATTTAACTCAAAGTTGGATTTAACTCCTGTGACGGTAAAACACACAGAGACCGGCATAACAACTTTAACACATGGTATGTATAATATTAGGTTACTAATATTTCCTAACTATACACATTCGTTCCTGGACTTTAAAGTGGAGCTTTATTTTAATCAGAGCACGCATAACATACACAAATAACAAATAATTAACCAATAATGCGTATGAATGAAAAGTTCTAATAATTTTTGCACTACGTTTTAAGGTGTTATGTCTCTGTGCAGTCTCATTTTTCAATTTTGAATTAAAATGTTCACTTGACGATTCAGAGTGTGGAAAATCCACGCTAGTCGAGTGAAAAGTTATACCAATTCGAGTGACTCGGCAGTCAGTCTGCTTTTCGAGTGAAATCTCGCTCTCAGAAGTTCACAGAGTACGTGTAACCGACTCGTCCGCGGATCGTCGATTTAAATGTCGCACAGTTTGTTCCGCGAGTGAACTCTGGTCGCGCGTTTAATTTCGTAGACGAGCACGCGCACATGGCGCGCTGAATGAAGAATAATTAATTGTCTCGAGTGACGAGCCGCTGAGACACGTTAAGAGACAGCTGAAGCCGCGAATGGCTAGGTATCGCGATCGTCGATATTCGAGAAACTAAACGGAGCGTATCAGCGCTCGGACGGCTACGCGAGCACAGTTGACGTGTGCTTCCAATGTGCTCGCGGCGTTACGCGTGGCCGAGACGTTTCCAGATCGTGAAGCTTTTAAAGAGCTCGCGGACGCGAATTTCCGATGAGAACTCTGCCCCGACCCGGAACCCGCATCGGAGGGCTACATTAGATACTCGTTAATCGACGAAGGGTCCTCGTGACGATACGCGTATTATCGGCATGAATGGCTATTCACTTCTCGATGACCATTCAACGAGTCTGTTGGATATTTTCACCGGGGCGTCGGATCAACGAGGTAGTTTATAGCTCGGCGATTCGCGACGAGCGCATTTTCCGTTTTACTGTACCTTCGGCACACTCGTATCGACATAGAAGAGACCGGGACTAGGTGTCCTATATTTCAAAATTTCCAAGTTACAACTACTCAAACAACTAACTGTTGTGACTGACTGTATAAACATGATGGAGGCAGCCTTCTTCCGTGTGTCAATGTTCGCCACGATCCTGTCAACCGTATATTTTGTTTTGTAATAACCAGAATACAAACATGCGGCAATGTGACCATCTTATCGGGCTTAGTAGCGCAGAAAGTAAGAAGACTACTTATAAAATGTCTATCCTAGTTAGTAGTTCCAGGGTTTTCGCGAAAGGCTTCCACAGTCCCGTTACCGGCCTTTAATTATGGGCCAATTTTACCTTGTTACCGCATATGTTCGACAAATCATTTTATGAATGAAAATTACTTTTATTACGCGAAACTTTATATATCATATACTTGCAAGGCAATTTTATTCTAGCCAGTAATACGTCGCTAACTTTATTTACTCATAAGATGGAGTATATTAATACAAAATTAATAAGAGCTCAAATATTTACTTTGCTACTACTAAATCAGTTTTTTCCATCTTTAACTGTAATATTACTTCGATTTTAATAAAACTCAGAGAAAAGTACTTATGTTTAAAAATAAATTTTACGACTTTGTATCTATATTATTCCTCGCAAGATAGATATTAAAAAAAATATCCAAGGGCCATGTGCAACATATCCCTAGGGCCATTTAGACCCGGTCTCTCCTACAATGTGACCATTTGACGAACTATTTGCAGTGAAAATTCTACCAAAATAAGTGCGGATGTCAAAGTGTTAATAGACACGTTAATACCCACGTTTGCAGAACGACCTAAGCACTTCTTCTTTGACTCATTTCGGGACGTCCAACGGAAGAATGTCTGCCTGAACAATTCTCAGAAGACATTTCTTTCATTGGACGCCGAATACGTCTTGAAATGTATCGTAAGCGTTGAAACTGTCGCGAACGAATGTACCTCGTCGAATGGAAAGAGAGAAAAATAATTAAAGAAAGTTACGCGAAAGTTAATAAAAATGGATCCGCGCAAAGCTGAGGTCCCCGGTTACCTGCACATTGCATGGCGAAAAATGCGGCTTTTGCGCAGTATCGCTAATGGAATCCTATATTACGGGGTTACGCCACCAATTTATATATGGGGCGGCCGGCCGCCGCTGGTAGAAGGAACCCCCTCTCCCGCTGCCGCCAAGGGTCTCAGCTGCTTCTCGCTGCCTTTTCACCATCGCACACGCCCCCACAATGTTCGTATATTTCTTCCCGTGCATTTTTCACGATGCAGATGCACCTCGCTATTCTCCGCCGTAAAGGCAGAGTCTTTATTTCCGCTCGCTTTCCGTCTCCTCGCATCGTCTCTTAAGGACGACTCGCGTGGAATAACGATAACGCGATCGCGCGACGGTACTCGTCGAAGTCATCCTATCACCACCACCACCACCACCGAGGAATCTACGCACCTGGAAATCCGGGTTCTTCGAATCCTCCAGGATGGCGTCGATCACGTTCTCGATTTGCTTCTGATCGTTCTTGTGGTTCTCGATGCCGTTCTGGCGCAGCCGCCTGCCGGACGAGTAGACGACGTCGGTGCCGTTCGGTTTTCTTCGGTCAAAGTCCGCGTCCGAGCTGGTCTTGGACGTCTCGGAGTCGGAGCTGTGCTGCTTCCGGTTCCTACTGTCGAACGGGCTGCCGTCCACTGTGGGCTTCCGCTCGGCCACGGGCTCATTGTTCTCGAAGCTGTTGCGCTTCGAGCTCTGCTTCACGTCGCCGTTCCGCCAGCGCTTACTGTCGCAGTACGACTCGCTGTTCTTCACGCTCTCGATCTCCTTGATCGCGTCGCTGACCTTCTCCAGTTGCCGGCGATTCTCCTTCAGCGCCTTCTTCACGATCTGGTCCTCGATCAGCAGATTCACCGGGATCTTGGAGGCCAGCCGATCGCTGCTCGTCGCGCCCTTCTTCGACGTCTGCGACTCCACGAGCAAGTTCGTCGACGACTTGGCCGCGTCGAAGTCCATCGAGAAAGGCGCCGGCACGCCGTTGCAGTCTCTCGATCGATCCGTGACTCGAAGATCCGTTCGATCGTCGTCATCGATAGGCGATGGTGGCAGCCGAGGTAGCTCGATGTTGTCGCGCTCCTTGTCCTTGTCGGACACGTCGGACGACTCCTCCTCCTCCACGGTGATCTCCAGCTGAGCTCGGTTGCCGGCGTCGTTGTTGATCGCCGGCATGGACACGACTCTGATGAGGTCCGGCGGTGGCACCGGCACCGCGAATTCCGCCGGCGGCTCGTCCAGGCCTTCGAGCTTGCCCTCCTTCAGCAGGCTCTTGATGTTGTCGAAGGTGCTCGAGTATCGCCTCACATCCGACAGTCGGCTCTCCTCGCCGTTCTCGAAGGACAAGCTCTTGGTCTTGGTCGGAGTCTTCGGCAAGACCTTGCGCTCTTTCTTACGGCCGCGGCGTATGACGTAAGTGCCATTCTTCGTCAGCTCCTGCGGCCGAATCTGGTCGAGCTCGTTTGTGGACGAGTCCGAGTACGGCGAGACTAGGTCGTCGTCGGTAGTGGACAGCCGCGGGTCCTGCCAATCGTCGAAGTCGCGCAGCTTCGACGCGGATCCTACGCCTGGAACGCAATCCCAACCGCATTCTCATTTGAATCTTTAGTCGGCAGGATTAGTCCTGTCGTTACGACTAAGCTGAACCAAGTCGAAATTTTAGCTCTACTTTCGACCTAAACTTTTCAATCCGTATATTCTGCCAGAATTAGTATATATGAAAACTGAAGTCCTACTTGAGGCACTTCTAAATGGCGGAAAACGTACAAAATGTTACTTGCAGGTTCTGAAGAGAACCTTTCGATAAAGTTAATAGATTAAAAGAATCAAAAGAGGCCGACATATAATTTAGAGTATCAAAATAGATATTAAATGAAATATTGAGGTTAAAAGTAAGATCAAAATTTCGACTCGGCAATGCAAAGTTCTGCCGCCGAATGCGCGTAATAGATAATAGTAGCAGTAATAGCTAATAGATAATAGAATAATAGATTGTTATTTGTTGCCTCACATTGTATGATTTATTATATCTACGTTAATACGCTGAATGTCGATATGATTTGGCATTATAATGTTGCCCTGTCTTATTACGTTACGTACAAAATATAATTAATTAATTAATTGTAATTGAATGTGAATAATTGTTTGCGTGGCCAATAGAACGTCAATAAAATAAAGTAAAAGATACGTGCGCATCAAGTTAGCTTTATTTTCTGTATTTTTAGTAATGGACGCCAGGTTGGCAGTTAAGCTTTTTTCAAATTAACGGAAATCAATACGGTGGTCAACGTGTTAATGTAAAGTGATAGTAAATAAATTAATAAAATTTGTATTTATGACGTTAAAATAAACAAACTGTTGCTTAATAACGATGTGTTATTCACTGGTTTTCAATGCAAATCGTAAAAAAATAATTATAGTTTATGACTGTAGTGGTTATAATGAAACCGTTCAGTGAAAGCCGCTATATATTGACGTGTAGTAATGGAAAGATTTGGATAGGACAACACATTTTTAAATGCCAATATGTCAAAAATAAAAACTTCATCTTCCGAAAAGAAACAAAAGGATCAAGGGGCTGCAACATTTTCTGTGAAAAATCCTAATCGCGCAAAATTTTCAAAAGGGAAATTTGGAGACACACGGATTTTCTAAAAGGGAAACTTTAGATTGCCGAAAAAGAATACTACTCGATGCTGCTTGCTACGCGAAACTTCAGAGCTCCTCCATATCAATCCTCCTTTAAACAGATTAGTCTTGAGGCACTTACTTGAGACATCGCTGCTCTTTCGTCGTCTCCTGCCGACGACTTTGGTGCTACCGGGCGCGTACAGGGGATCATCCTCAAGGGACACCTCCCACGCGATGGAGTGCCTCTTGCTGATGGGCTGCGGTGGCGGCAGCAGTTCCTCCAGGGAATCGTCGGAGAAGCGCTCCTCGTCGGACTGCGTCCTGAAGTCGGCGGAGTTGCGCGCGGAGAAGTCCGAATTTCTCGTGGAGAACAAGTCGGAGTAGCGCTCCTCGGAGCAGCGGTCGGACGTGGGCGCGGAGAGGTGCTCGCTGGAGTCCGCGCGCGGCAGCGAGAACGAGACGAAGTCGAGATTGCGGATGGAGAACGGGTCGGAGCTCGGTACGGACACGTGGTCGTTCGAGCTCGCGCTCGCCACCGCTATCGAGAAGTCCGAGTGGAAGCGCTCATTCGACGTGGAGTTCGCGCGTGAGAAGTCCGACGAGTCGCAGTTGGCGCGCATGGAGAAGCGCTCGACGCTGACCGAGCTGGAACGCGGTATGGAGGACCTCTCCGACTCGGAGTTTCTGGAGAACCTGCCCTCGCTGGAGTCGGAGTCGTTGCGCCGTCGTTGCGACGACTCCTTGTCCGGCCTGTTCATCAGCAGGCGATCCTCGACGCTGCTCGACTTCATGATCTCGTTCTGCCGTTGCTGCTTCCTCAGGTGCGACGTGCGGTCCCGCTCCGGGCTTTGCTGTTGACGGCCGGTGTCCTCCAGGCACTCCTCCGAGGAGCGGCGGCGCACCTCGCGGTGCTTCTCCACCGCGCTCGGGTTCGTCCGCGGCGGGATCCAGTTGAAGGACATCTTGCCGTCGTACGGCAGGCTGGCGAACTTGCTGGGCGGACTGGGCGGTTGGGCTAGTCGCAACGACTCCACGGTACCGTTCTCCCAGCCGTACGGTCGCTGGTGCCGGGTCTTCGGCTGAAGAAACGCATCGAGTGCTTTCATGAATATATTTTTTCACAGGGTGACTCCGAGATCGCGCCTCGGAAACTCCGCGGGTAACTTGGAGTCGACTGTTTGTCGAGGAAAGAATATCCGATCGATCTCTCATTGTTCTTAGAAACAATCGATACTTGATACTTTCTTAACCGAGTTTTTTACATAAGTTTTGTACGTTCACAGGAAATATTAAGAAAGAATCAAACAAGCCAATAAGAGCCGACACAAGGTATTAGTGATGGATATTTAATGGAACGTCAAACATTTAACTTTTCAAGAATCATTGAACTCTCTAGAAGTGAATCAACAATATGTTATCAAGAAATACCTGCAAAATTTATCTCTAGTTCTTCAACATTATTTCTTGGAGATCTATCTTCGGATTAAATTTAGAATTTGTCCCCACTTAAGAAAAAAAGGTAAGTTTTCATTATCTCAAAGATAAATACAAAGTTTCTTTCATCCCCGATCGCTCATAGCTGCCAGATCTAAAGTTGCTCCGTCGGTGCTTCAGTAATTTTACCGCGACAACATCGACCCCAAACTACTCCGGGAAGAATTCGCGTGGACGGAAGAAAACACGAGGAGCCCGAGGCGCCCCATACATCACGCGTCGCCTGATCCAAGATCACCGGAGCCATCTTCATCAATTTTACTCGCTCATCTGGGGCACGAGCGGGTCCAATCCGACGCAGCTCACCGTGGGATCGCGATCGGGAGCGATCCCTGCGTCGGCTTCGCGAATCGGGCCGACTTCCGCGTGTGGCGAGAGTCTCGACTTTGCGCGTTACGGTCGACTCGACCGTAATCGTAAACCAATATCGTTACGACGCGCTCCGATGAGAAAGTCGCGGGATTACGAGCGGCCGGGCACCGATCTGCGACCGCGAGCGCCACGTACGTCGCGGACGCGCCGTCGTAAGTAAGCCGAGTTATCGGCAGCGATCAAACGGCGAGGGAGGAGACAGCGAGAGAAGATACGGAAGAGAGTACTTACGAGGGTGGTCTGCGTGGTAACGGCGTTTCCGTGCCGCATGCTATCCTCCACGGCGACCATCCACTGCTGCTGCCGGCCGGCGTTCCGCCGCTCCGAGCTCTGGCCGACGACGACGTTCCTCTTCGACGAGTTTCCCGGGGAAACCCTGGCCGACAGATGAAACATGGATAAAGAGAGAGCGGCTACACACAAGGTGTCCCGGATTTAATAACTGTCCGAACACTTATTAGCACTGTCTCTTAGCACGGATGTATATCGGCTGACAGCTGAAGGAGCCGCTGGAGCGATGCCAGCGGCGCATTGACAATTGTTTCTCGACGTATCGCCTGCAAGCGTGTCGTGCGCGTGTCGCTAAGAAACAGTCGCGTTTCTTAGCTACTTTCGATGGTATCTCGCGTTTACCGAGCTCGCCTCACATCACCCGCTCTGGTTCGTCAATCTTTTTTCACTAATATCTCTTGAAATTTTACCTATTTGAAAATGTTAGAGAATTTTTATTTCGAGGTTAATGCACTCTACCTATACACTCGGCTCCGCAGAGAATTGGCGAACAACATTGGAAATTAAATAAAAAAAAGTTCTTTACCATTTTGCAATTAATCATTACTTTTACAATTATTCCGCTTCCGACGGACGTGATATCGTCCTTCTGCGGAATAAGGATCAAGTAGCATAATCGTGTAAGTACAAAAGACATCAATTTTTGTATTTGCGTTAAAATGGACATTAACTTGTGTTAGAAATTAATGAGAAATCTTAGTTTGGATCTGTGATACAAAACATCAGTTTTATGTTTTATAAAGTGCAATCTAAAGGAAAAGCAACATTATAATAATGAAAACTTGACTCTAATTTTCAGAGTCAAATTAAGATATTAAATAACTTAGATTTAATAATTTAACATTTTTAATATTTTTTAATAAAAAAAAAAACTTTTAAAATAATTTTAATTTAAATTTAATTTTTTATTTAAAATTTTTTTATTTTAAATTTTATTTTAAATTTTTTAAGTTTTTGATTTTTTTAATAATTTTATTACATTTCATTTATTTTTAGATATTTGAAAATCACATAAGAAGCTCGCCAAGCAAATTGTGCGAGCAAAACGCAGTGAAACAATTATTTTTGTATTTGGAACTAAAATATTTGGTACATACGACATGTTTGGTGTTATCACCTTTTTACTTGTGTCAAGTAGGATGTATTAGTGAGAAAGTAAAACACACAAGTGGCGATTAAACTTTTTTTCTTACAATTGCTAAACATCTGGTTGCTGCCACTTTAACCAAATTTTCGTTTCGGTAACGAAATTCAGCACACGCATTTCCATGCAAAGTTCGCGCAAGTGTTTTCCAGATGGAACACGCTTGCGGAACACAAATGCTCGCGGCATTCGATGAGGATGAACTGCGCGACAATACGTCATCAACGAACCCCGTGAGCGCCCGTCCGGAGGAGTTGGAAGTTTTTTTATCCTATTAACCTTCTTTCGACATATTTTCGAAGTTGCCGAGTCGCCCAAGAGGACAGCATAAATCCGGGCTACCCACACGACCGAATAAACGAGGGGCATTGCACGGGCCATCCGGGGAGAATAAGGGAACTTTTGGGAAGAAAACGACGGAATAAATCCGATGGGAACTTATCATCGTCATGCCGGCCGATCGATCGATCCGCCCGTGTCTTTTTGTCGAATCAAGACCGAATTTTTCGCGTTCCACGACGTCGAACGCGGTAGGTCTCGACGTCGAGCGCGTAAAGCGCAGTGCGAAGAAGTTCCTGTCTTCTTACTAATCGCGGCCAGAGATATTTCTTCTCGCGTGTAAATAAAATACATTTTCTCAACGAGTAGCTTCAGCACTGGGAGAGAAAAAATAATAGATCTAATAAAAATTATTGTTACCTTTGACCTGAGCTATGTTGTTTGATTATTCTAGCACGAAAATGGCAATATAGTAATGTGCAGATAAGATTATTATCATTAACATTATAGTAGATTTTAATTAAAAAATGATTCTCTTGACCATAATTTGTAACAATAATTTCTTCACGTAATTGTAGCCACAAATACCAAACATATCTTTCTCACCAATTTTTCGTGACGAAATGTCATTGATGGACTTCCGTTAATTTCTTTAACGCCGACTCGCTTTGGGTCAAGGGTGAACGAACTGTTGTACAAAAGAGGAACGATAAGCGTAACATGACTGAGTTACGCCACTTCGGAATCGAACGCCTCGATCATGTCCCGTTTTATTTGAGACCCCGACATATTATGTCCGGTAACGACTCTCTCGTTCTCTCGTCGATCTCCTATATGCGTCCTTTCTTGCCCGTTTAAACAGGAATTTTCACGGCGCGATTTGGCGCGACACGAGCGCAACGCTCACGCGCGATTTTTGCAGCTTCCGGGTAGCGTCTCAATCGCACCGTCGACCGTAAAAGCAAGGAGAAGAAAGGAGCGAGGTGAGAACGGCGACGCTGAAGAGCGAACCCGATCGATTGACACTCGACTTCCGTTTGACTCGCTTCCAGTCGATAAACGTCGTACCACCGCCGCTGCCGCCGTCGTCGTCGTCGTTGTCGTTGTCGCTGTCGTCTTACCGGAGGTGCCGAGGGAAGACTCCGCGTGGAAATGCGATCCTCCGGATTATTTAACATAGAGACAGCCAATCGCGAGCAACGTCCGTGTGTTTTGCCGTGGACGTCGCCGCTCAGACGTCTAAATTAAGACACGGTGGTACAACGATACACGCCAGAGAGATAAGAAAGATGAGTCTCCAGAAAAAGGAAAAAAGGAAAGTGCGGAGTGAAGATATCAAACATCTTCCGTCGCGCGCGCACGTACAAAAAGAAGAAGCTCTTCCGCGCGCAGAACAGGTTTATCGCATCGAGCGGGATGCAAAAGAGAAGTCGCGCTGATTTTCTCACGTTGACGAGAACGACAACGACAGTGACAACGACGACGACGAGGACGACGACAACGACGACGACGAAGGCGACGACGTTTTGCCAGAATGACGGCCGCTCCACGGAGAGAAGAGGTTTCCCGAATAGAAGACGCATCTGCATTTCGAGGACGCCAGCTCGAACGCTCTTCACGGAGACTGCAGGCGTTCCTCGGCCGCGACAGAACGGCTGGTAATAGGCATGAAACGCGGTGATTAGAATCGACAGGCGCAACGAGGACGCCGTCGACGAGGACGACTTAAGGAGTCGCGTCTAACAAGGACTACTGCGGCTTCACGCTCGCCAACGAGTTGCAGGAACTCGGAATATTCCGCAGAACAGCCGCGTCGTAAAAGTCTGCGCGAGGACCTCCCGCGAGGAATGCGTACGTTAGAATACCGTGAATAATCCTCTCACCGCCTTATAACTCCCTCTAATTCGCGTGTCGTACCAAAGAAAAAAATAAATAAAAAGTAAGATTCAGATATAAAAAAAAATAAAATTGTATAATAGTGCTAAAATAAATCGTGAAATAGAATGACGAAGTCAAGCGCGAGACGCTTTGTACATCCGCGAGGATGTAATTAATGATCTCGGTTGAACAATGTTTATCCAAATTATTGAGCACACATTTTTTTGTACATTCCCGAGTCGAAATTTTGATCCTACTTTCAACTTCACTATTCCACTCAACACGCTAAAGAAAATGAAAAGAAACATTTCGGACATCATCAAAGTAGGAGTAAATTGTATCATTCCAATCAAACCTATTTTGCTAACTTAGCTCCTACTGCATTGTAGAATTTAATATTTAACATAGGATCAGAATTTCGACTCAGGTGTTGTCCCTACGTTTTCTTCTTCTGTATATCAAATGAATACATTCCCGATTAATTGAATAAATAGATAAATAATTAGATCGATAATACGGTGGTAAGTCTCTGAATGTTAACTGCAACGATCGGGGATCACAGCAAAGGTATGTCGCGCTCGAGCGAGACGATATCGTTTATCTTAACGAGCAATTTCGCCACAGATACACTCGTTCGATGGAAATCGGCTGCGAGGGACCGGCTTCGCTCGTTTGTGGCGAGATAAGCGACCGGAGAATTCTCGCGACCTCTCAGAGGTCATCCTTTCCGGGCGAACATGACGAGTTTATGCAAACAAACGAACGCGTCAGGTTAATGGCCTTTTAACGCGTCCGGCCTGTTGATGAAATCGGCCTCCGTAGTTTTCTGCGGGAGCGAGCCTGCAGATGGAAAACCGCGGACCGCGACGACGCCGTCGTCGTTGTCGTCATTGTCGCACTCGTCTCGTCTCGGAGAATGCAATCGGAGTGGTGTACGCGAAAGTAGTATGAGTGGCGAAGAGCAGAGGGAGTTTAACTTCCGACTTTCGTTGGGAGAGGAGACGGTAGAGGAAGAGGAGGAGAAGGAGGAGGAGGAGGAGGAGGAGAAGGAGGAGGAGAAAGAGGGTTTTCGCTTGTTTGAAGTAACGCCGGACGGAGTTGGTTACGACAACCGACGGAACGGCGATCCTGATGAAACGAAGTTACGCCCGGAACTAAAACTAAAGATATGAAAAAGTTAGGGAAGTCGCATGCGTGCGAAAGAGACCAGAAGGGGGAGAGAGAGAGAGAGAGAGAGAGAGAGAGAGAGAGAGAGAGAGAGAGAGAGA